CGACGAGGACGAAGAATATCCTACTGTTACCAGAAGTGCCGCGGCCTCTTCCGGCAATTATTTTTATCGGTCTCGTCGCCACAAAACGCCAACTCGAAATGTTCATCCGGTTTTTAGCACTACCGACGCACACCCCCATCCCACGCGGAAGCAACCAGAAGAAGCAAACATGGTAGTTAATAATAACAACAATGCCATCAGCCCCAAAATTCAAGAATGTACCTGTGGATATCAAAAGGAACAAGATCTCTTGAAAGAAAATGCAGAGCCTCTACCACCACCACTTCCTCAACCAGTTTATTCGGTTCACAAGAGAGTCTTGCCCTCCAACCTTACGGCACTGTCATCACCATTGGGCCGACAATTTCTCTTGGAAAGCATGGCGGCTCTCACTGCAGAATCGTATTGGGCACTCACGGAACAATTCGTGAACCAGAGTGATCCGGCCTATTGCGGGGTCACCACTCTGCTCATGGTATTAAATGCCATGAACATTGACCCCGGTGTTCGATGGAAGGGTGGCTGGAGATTTTATGGAGACGAAGATGTATTGCTACAACGCTGCTGCTTGAACAAGGAACGCATTCGACGAGTGGGAATCACCATGGAACAATTCATGATTTTAGGAACCTGCCACGGAACGAGAATCACCATGAAGAGACCGCCCCCGCCAGCAGAAAACGACAATAATCATTATTCCGACAGCATGGACACTTCTTCTTATTCATTGCAAGAATTTCGAAAGGACTTGAAGGAAACACTGGACAGTCAATTCAACCGGGAAAATTCCATGATTGTTACATCGTATTCTCGTGCGGCCCTACAACAAACTGGTGACGGACATTTTTCTCCCATTGCAGCCTTTCACGAACCCTCGGACCACGTTCTTATTTTGGATGTGGCAAGATTCAAGTACCCCCCTTATTGGGTATCCGTCAAGGAGCTGTACGAGTCCATGCAACCCGTGGACGAAGCAACCCAGCTGCCACGAGGGTGGTATGTCATGACACCACCTTCCAACGCCGTTCATCACTCGTATCAAATGACGGATGAAGATAGACGACCGGCTCATCTTGTGCCTTTGGCACATGAAAAGGAACCATGTCCCTTGGGTGAAATCAAGGTTCAGTTCTGCCCCGCCAAAGCCAAGGCAGAGAAAGAAGCGGGAGTAGCCCCCAAAGAGCTTCAATGATTTCAGTGAGGAGAAAGGGAAAGAATGCTCCTGGCTACTCGGCTTGGAGATTCGGCTTGGAGAAACGAAAGAGAGGCTCCGGTCTGTCCAGGTACATTTGACTGCCAAGTGACATTCCTGCCTGGCTGGAGCACTATGCTAGAGCTAGAGCTACCGTTGATGCAGGTTTTGAATTATCTCAGCGGGACGAAATCTATTGATCAACTAGACGTCCTGCTACGTGTAGGTAGAGCCATAGGTCGTGATCGTGCCCACGACTGTGGAGTTGACAGAAGCGATGCCACCAAGAAGAACAGCATGGGTGGAATTTCTGTGTTGCTATATCTTTCAGGACGTCGCTCAGCAAGCATAAATCCAAGTTGCTTCCAGTCTGAGTATTGGCCAAAACCTCTAAGTCGCGCGCAGAGGCGTCAAATTATTTTGCGGAGAAATCTTCTTTTTTTCACCCCAAATGAAGCCGAGAGCCGAGACGAAGGAAAACAGCTTAGGAATAGAAGTTGAGGTAAATATGAGATGATCAATGGAGTACATGTACAGGAGGTCTCCTTTGAATATTTCTGTATATTTAATTGTTTACCGCATCTACCTGTGTCCAAAGCTTTGTCACGCAGTGATTCAGCTCAAGAAAGATGTCATCTTTGTCACATCACTTTCGGTTCTCGACGATTTGATATCAAAGAACATTTGACTAAGTTGGACGAGTGGAAAGAAAACAGTCTCATTTGCCTTTCCTGTGGGGAAAGCCAGATAGCGACACAGTGCTGATTGACTTCAGCTCGTTGTGGAGCTCGGCTGTAGTTTGCTCTGATAAAGATGTTTTCCACTGGATCTTTCGCGCCTCTTTACGCTGAGGAATATCTGGATGTTGGTACCGGTACCAATGCATACGGTGAACAGGAACATCAGTATCAGTTTGGTACGCGATCGCAGAACCCTTCTAGCAATGGCTACTCCGACGTAGAACAGCCCAGCAAGAGTCCCCCCAGAGAACAGCAGGCTATCAGGCCGCTACCAGCCAGGTCCGACTACCCGAGAAAGACCAGTACCAATAGCAGCGATGATCCTACTTCCACAGGATCGAGCAGCACGAGCGACGACCGCTTGTTCGGCACTGAATCCAATTTCGAAGATGGGCCCTATGTGAGAAGACTGTCATCGTCAGCGACATCCTTCGCGCAGAGAACAAACCAGAACAGCGCTGTTGCTAGCAGCCCCGGTAGCATCAGAAGCAATTCCTCGAGACAGGGTGATGTCTCGGGAGCGAATGCACAACCTATCCCAAGTGCAGACGAGCTGGCTTCCCGTGATCGGCAACTCCTAAAGCTCACAAAGAAGCTGGACAAGATGCATCGCAGGGTAGTGGACTTGGAAGTAGATCTCCAATGCCAAGACCTGGAAACTGTCAAACATTCCAAAGAAGGAGCCATCATTGAAACCCTTCTGAAGGTGGAACAGGGGAAAGATGACCCCATAGGGATTGAAGTTGGCGGTCCTCAGTTGGTGCAGGTCAACAGCAATAGCAGCAGCGAAGAGGAAAAGCAAGATCAGGAGGATACACCTGCCATGGGGGACAAGTCTTCCATTGGCCCTGAAGCTAGGAGACTCATCCACAAGCTCCTCAGTGATTACGAGGATGTGGAGCGTCTCTATAAGGAAGAAAAGTTCCAGCACGCTCGTCACATGAGAAACTTGTCATTGCGTCGAACAAGTGGCAGCCTTGTCGGCATCGATATCGACGAAACGAGTCAGGTGTCTGCTCGCTATGGAACCTGTGATAGTAGGCAGGCAGCGTTCAAGCCCATATTGCAAGAAGAGATGCGATACTCGCACATAGCCCATCCTCCCCGGGTGTCCAGAACCGGTTCGAGTCTGAGTGGGACCAGCAGGGGTGCGAGGGGGGCACCCGACCCACCCGAGGAATTGACCAAGTACTGCCAACCACACCATGTCCACCCTCAGTTCATGTTGTTTCACGGCCAGAGCGAGAAGCGGAGAGACGACGATGATGATCGTCACAGCGATGATTTGTCGTCCAAGGCAGTTGATACTCTCATTGATGATGAAGTCAACTCAGACTGCCACGCCGTCAAAGACCACCAAGGTGAAGGGCGCCAATACTGGCGAGATATCATCTTGGGAGTCAACGATGGTCTTGTGTCGACCTTCCTTTTAGTCGCAGGCGTGCGCGGTGGAGGGATGTCCTCCTCTGAAATTCTCTTGACTGCGATTGCTGGGTCTGTTGCTGGGGCCGTTAGCATGTGTGCGGGAGAGTATGTTGCGACCAAGTCCCAGAATGAAGTGATCGCTGGGGAGATTGCGACGGAAACGAGGCATGTTCGCGACTACCAAAAAGATGAGTTGAAAGAGGTTTCTGACCTGCTCGAGCTCATTGGCATTGACGACAGGGCATTGCAGAAGAGGCTGATCCGCCACTATGCCCGAGACTCAAAGGCTCTCCTGAAGATCATGATTGCGTTGGAACTCGGTTTCCTCGAAGAAGAAGAGCGTTCTCCGGGTGAGTAGCTTGCGTGTCACCCCTCACAACGGCATCATGATGCAATATGCAGCTCACGCATCGCTTTTGCTGCATCCCTCAGCTATGGCAGGGTTGGTCTCGTTCTTTCTGTTCTTAGCAGGCGCCTTTCCTTCTGTGATGCCTTTCATGATACCGGACGTTGACCCGACTGTTGGTTTCATTGCTGCAGGAGTTTCGACGTGTATCGCGCTTTTGGTGGTTGGTGCTGTAAAGACTTGGGCCACCAAGGGTAACTGCTTGACTGCGGCACTCGAAAACTTGTGCGTTGCCGGCTTTGGAGGCGCCATCGCTTATGGGGCAGGGCTTCTTTCAATACAGTTCATCGAAACATAGGATATACTTTATACAAAGCACCTTCCAGATCAACCACTTTTCATGCCAATGCAATGATTGGCATCTTCTCCCATGTTCCGGAAATCAGTGAACTAACTTCGTCTGCGCCAGTAGGGTAAAAAAGAAGTAAACCTCTTCACATTGTGTACTTGATGAACCTCTTCACATTGTGTACTTGATCAAGTGTCCGTATGATTGCCCTCGCCAAGTTTTGTTGCCCTGAATGAATGATTGATTGAAGATCTGAAATCTTGCGAAATTCACAGAAGATCACAGAATCTTTGGAGTCACATGCGTCCGCGGTCAAGGGCTAGAACCGAGACAGAGATACCACCACTGGAGCTCTAGATACGACTGTAGGCGAATCATTGCGGAGGACCGTGGTGTGCTGTTGATTGCAAAACAGTCTTTCGACAGTGTTGTTACCAATGGGACGATCTCTGTTTGACGGTCCGTTTCGAGCGCTGCCTTGGTTGCTTGAAGTGCATCGAAACCAGCAGTCAGTCTCTTTCCATCAATCCTTGGTCGTCCCTTGCAGTGGGTAACGTGGCTGGATGGCTTCGAAAGCCTGAACAAGCAAGATGCTCCAAGGTACAGGTATGTCTGCTGTCCCTTGGTTTGCTTGCAGCGCTACAGGCCGGGATCCTTCTGCTGCTTCTTCTTCTTGGCCCAGATATCTGAAAACGATTTGAGTCGGGAGGCAAGCCGCTTCATACAGAGACTCTTGATGACAATGCATCTTGGCTCTAGTGCATATCCCATGGATTCGATCATTGTCAATGCTTCCAATGTCCCATGTGCCCCGCTCAAACCCCCTATATCGGCATATACAACATCGTATCCAAGTTCCCCATCCTTTCTCAACTTGAGTAGCTCGAGGGTTCGTCTCCCATCGGCCACGGCAAATTGAATGGAAGGATACTGTGCTTTGGCATGCTGAATGATTTTTGGCCCGATATCGACTCCAATGCAGTATCCTGTTCCGTCTTTGGTTGCTGCCTGGTTGTTCAATAGAGAAGTACTTCGGCCAAAATGACATCCCACTTCAATCACAACATCACCTCCTGTGACGGTCATTGGGATGAGCCGTCTGTATTCTTCCACTCCCACGGCACAGAACACGTATGGCTCGTGGGATCTTTGTAGCTTGCCGTTTTTGTCTGCTCCTTGCAAGGACCAGTGTCCATCCATGACATGCTGTGCCGGCACAAGCCTTCGTGCGAGCGACGCCAGGCTTTTGGATTTGACTAGAATTACTGGTTGACTCTTTGTCGTTTCAAGCTGTGCCACCAGGGACAAGAGATCCATAGTCATGGAAAGGGTAGCTAGATGTAGATCATTGCCAAACAAGTGGCCCAAATCAAGTATGATGATATCAAAGATAGGATTGTTGCGAAACACAACCTGTTTCCAATCCTCCAGTCGCTCCAATTCGACAATGTTGACATCTTGTTGTTGTTGTTGTTCTTGTCGTGCTGCAAACGTCTCACTACTCAGGCGATGGGTGCATCTACCACTCTTGGCGACGGTAGCATCTGGTTCCACAACGTCCACCAGGGTAGCTTGGCCATTGGGAAGAATGGCTTGACAAATATCTCTGGAGACAGCATCGTATTGAGCACCAATCTGTAGGACCTTATCTCCTGATTGACAAAAGAAGGACACAGCTCTGGACAGTTCGCTAGAGGAAGCGCACGTGATAATCGGCGGGTTGGCGGTCAACGCATTCGCAACCGAGGATGTCAATGCCAACAAGAACAGGAGCGGCTTTGGTGTGGATAAGACGCGGACGACTCGTGGCAGAGGTTTCTTCATGGTCCCACTGCTACTTATAGAGCTCTCATTACATGTACAACGTCGGAGAATAGCCACCATATTATGGCAACAGGATGAGTGATGTGAATGTGATCATCTGTGATGTATGGTCCATGGTCGAGGATAGATCCAGAAATATCTTATTGGAACTACTATTAGCTAGAGTAGCAGTCTAGCTGGCTATTATGGCGTTCCAATCCCGAACTAAATCCCGAATGAAGACACTTTAATTCTTTTTTGAAGATCTGGGATAGATTTGGTGAACTCGTGACCCAGCAAATAGTTCAGTGTCCAAAGCGGACACCCGACACCCACCACGACCACAACACAACACAGTCAAAGCAGCAAGTCAACATCGTCGGAACGCTTCCTTGGCCTTGTATTGATGCTTGCACCTTCCTCTATCTGAATCATCTGAAACTATCTCGATAGAAACGCATTAGGTAGAAGTTAGTTACCCAAGATGATGGCAAGAGGATCCCCGAAGCTGACGTATACAAAGCAGAGCGATGGCTACCTTATACGCCAAAGAACACGCATCGAGAAGAAGCCAGGCGCCTCAGAAGACTGGAGGTTCGTGTCTGCCATGTTCCTGGGGACACTCTGTTTGGCCGCTTGTCTCTTTTTCTTGTCCTCGGGAGAGTTGAATCCGTTCGCTACCGCAGGAGGAAGTCATCATCACCATCCTCATCACAACAAACATTTCCGAGAACAAAAGCATCAAGTAGAACGCTTTCTCCGGGCCGCACGTGCTCAAGTAGTAGAACTGGAAGAACGGATTGTCGAACAAGTAGAAGAACTGGAAGAACGGGTTGTCGAACAAGTACATGAAATGGAAGAAAGGATTGTCAACCTAACCACGAAAGATCCAACAAAGGAGGAAGAGGGGAAAAACATCATTCCCGCAGAAGGAGAGGAGACCGTCGCCGCCACTGCTGCATCGGAACCACAAGAAGGAGCCTCGAAGCCACAAGAAGAAGGAGCCCCAGAAGAGGAGACAACAAAAGAGCAGCAAGACGCTGCGGGAAAAGCAGACGCAACCACCGTTTCAGAACAGTGAATTCTTGAGTCTGTGGCAACATTATTTATTCCATTCAACAACAACAAAACCCCCGTGGGTTAATAGTGTAAATTTGGACCACAACTGTCGGATTGAAAAAGGAATGAATCGAAGTTTTGAAGAGTGGGCACCCATGGCTGCATCTCTCTTGGTGTTTTGTTCAGCGGAATCGAATCGAATCAGGTGCGAGAACATCATCTGGCAATAGGAAGAGCGCAATCCTCCACACTCAGTCACTTCCATTGACTTGCCAATACTCGCCTAAAGATCTTTACATAATGATAGTGATGCATAAGTACATGAACTGGGTCATCTAGGATCGCAGTTTATTATGTGGGAGGTGGACGAGGGCGTGCTGGTTTTTCCTGACTTTGTGAGAGTCAAACAGATGAAACCGCTCGTGCCAGTGCTATTTCTTTTTGCTTCGTTGTTTACGGTCCGGTAGGAGAAGAGCAAGGGGACAGACAGAGCAGGTGCAAGTACTGCACGATTGACAGGGCACCTACAGCCACCCAAGACAGCTCTCTTCTGCACAGTAATTATCTCGACCAAAATCAATTCTCGGCTACCTACTCAGTAATGCTTTTCTTGGCAAAAACTAGCTTGCCTCACACTTTTTCAAAAAGCGTTCTGCACTTCCCAAAAATAGACTGTTTTAGTTTTGGAGAATGGATGATGGCAATCGAACTGGATCTAGAGCTACCTGGTACCGCTAGCGACCTCTTGCTTTCCAAATGCCAGATGGTTGTCTCTCCAGGCTCGATTTCGGGATTACATGGAACTCGTTCCCTACTAGCTAGTACTGTACGGCATTTAAACAAGCGAAGCCTTGATTATGTTCGGAAAGGAGGAACAACAAGGAACAAAATAGTTACGATTTTGCTGGCTACCGGTACCGATCTTAAAAACTAAGCTCACAGATCGATCAAAGAGCTCAAAGAACATGCCACTGTTGGGTAAGCTTGCCATCCCGTTGGAAAAGTTTGAATCCTGTGGCCGTGGCCCCTTCCCAGTCTTGCCGAACGATCTTGAGAGTGCCCGTCAGCATTGCGAGACGATGGCCACAGTCCTCGCCTTGGATGTACGCGCAAGCAATCTTGGAGTATCTTGTAGGCTGCGGAGTCTTGGTTCGTTGCTATGAATCGCAAAAGGGCTGCCAGAAAGAAATGAGAGCCGTGCTGAACCGTACTGGTGAAGACGACTGTCACTCTAGTGACGAAGCATTGGTGTACTACATGACAAAGAAAATCCTTCGTCTGCTGCTAAAATGGGCGAGATGCATCCTATCTAGTAGGGGAAAATGGATACTCTATTGAAGTTCTTAGGAAAGGCTGCTGTCTGACGAGGATAAGCTTGTAAAGCTTTGGCTGCCCAGAATGCCAGATTTGAAATGCGAAACCGAAACGACGATGTTTGTAAAGCAAAGCAGGCAAACATGAAAGATGAAAGGGATACTACTAATGCATTGCTTCGTAATATCCACCGAATCGACTCCCTAGCTGTTTCTAGGTTTACAGAATCTAGAATCTTGTCGCTTGTCAATGGATGCGCACATGACACGTAATAGATCAAGTGCATACACCTTCAAGTTACTTTGGGACAACTCGGATGAATGCAAAACCAACAGTAAGGCATTTTTCATTGTAGACCGGAACTTGCTGGTAATGGCTGGGTTGGAACGGCAGCAATGATACTCAGTCTGAACAACATAGCTGGCTACCGGTAGCTGACTATGGCATGGTACCTGCACCATGTTGAACCAATCTGCTATCTGAGCAGCTGTGCCATACCGCAGATATCTTCTTTCCCATACTGAGAAACCACTCCACGATAAATTCGTGCCGGAAGCTCCCACTTCTTTTCATCGGATAGTTTGATCTTGATGCAAAAGCACCCGAACCAAAAACGGAAGGATTGGCAGTAGGAACGCTCGTTGTGCCAAGAGTGTGCCACGTCAGGTTTTGAGCACTTTTTGGAAAAAATGCACTCAAAATCAGGAAAATCTTTTAGATTAAAGCCCGGAGAAAGGTTGAGATATGTTTGAAAGATTTTGGTTTAGTCTCCCGATCATTCCGTTGCTGACAGCAATCACCAAATTTGTGCTGGATCAACACAAGGTGACGCTCAAGGTTGATGGGATTGGATTCAATCATCGCTCAATGTTCCGGGCAAAAATGAAAGATACCCCTGCTTCACGCACCTCGCCCGTTGATTGGCCTCAGACACCAATCCATCCAAGAGAAGAATTTTGTTGGTGGCTCCCCGCTCACAAACCGCGAGAAAGAAGAACCCTATCACCTCTTGGTTGATTTGTTTCTTTTAACTTGTTCGGTTTGTCGCCTCTGATCGGTCCTGACGTATAAGCTTGTTTCGTGCTAGTCAGGTATTATTTCCAACACAACCAATCGAGAGAGTGACAATGGCTGCTTGTGCTTTTTCTACCTTTTGTGTGGGACGTCAAGCTACCGTAGCCAGAACCCGTTCACTGGTATCTTCCCAATGGGCGACACCATCACGTCCTGGTGGCGCTTTTAATAATTCTCCCATCAGTTTGGCTCCGATTGGTGGTGGGGTTGTTAGCGCACCATCTTTCTCGACTCTTTCCAGCAATCGTGCTGATTCCTTGGTGGCGCTACAGAGGGTTCCAAATAATCGAGAAGGGTCTAATAGCCATGAAAGATCGTGGGATAATATGTCGTCGCTGATGGCTCTGGCGGCCTCGGCGGCGTTGCTGAACTATTCCAATAACGTCACAAAAGCCGAACCACCGGCACCACCATCACCCATGGCAACCTCAGTGGCAGCAGTATCAGCGTCCCCATTCCAGCCGTCTTCAGAACATCAACAGAAGATGAAGTTCACGGGAAACATCCGGAGGCGAGTATCTTCGATCCAAGCGAAGAGAAACGTCGAGTATGTGAAGGAAGAATCCAAGTTACCTTTGAGATTCCAATTCTACAAGACTTCTGCTGAGTGTGAGGGGGGTCTCAAGGAAGAAACATCAGCTGATATCCTTAGCGAGGCTGATATACTTAGCAAGGCCAAACCCTATGAGGTGTGTTTTTTGTTGTTCGCATTTGATACAGGGCATTTGATGCCTGGTACCAATACCCTACATTTTTTTTCCTTGAATTTTCTTTTATCCTAACTTTCTTCTATTTCTCGTTTTCTGCTACCGTTATTGCAGGTTTCAATCGAGGCATTTCAAGGGAGGAGAGAAACTATGGAAGATGAAGTGGTTGTCAACGGAGGAGGCCGCTTTGCAGCTGTATTTGATGGGCATGGGGGCGGCGATGTGTCACTGTATTTGAAGCAGCACCTCTATCACCTTTTCCTCCTGCGTTTGGAACAAAAGCATTGGGAAGAAAGCGATTCGGATGTCCAGGATATTCGACTCACGACACCCTCTATTCCAGCCTACATGTCCGCGTTGAGGGAAGGGTTACATTCGGTCGAAACGGAAATTATCAGACACCCGGAATTGAACTTTGTGGGGAGTACGGCTGTGGCTGTAGTTCTGCACGAGAACCCAAGTGGGTATCGAACCCTCATATCAGCTAATGTGGGAGACAGCAGAGCCATACTCTGTCGAGATTGGAAGGCAGTTGATCTTACCAAAGATCACAAGCCTACTGCGGAAGGTGAGCGAAAGAGAATTCTCAGGGCTGGAGGAAGGATCTTCTTGGATGACACTGGTGTGCACCGGGTCATGAACCTTTCGCTCTCGAGGGCAATTGGAGATGGTTTCTCCAAGCCTATCGTTTCGCCTGAACCAGATATCCGACGGTTCCGTGTGGAAGATGAAGGAGATGAATTCATCCTGTTGGCCTCGGATGGACTTTGGGACGTCATGTCATCGCAGGATGCTGTGAATTTCGTTAGAGCCAGACTGGATGAGGCTCAATGCGTCGCTGAACGAATGAGCAAAGAAGAGAAAAGAAAAAAGATGGCCTCGACACGAGAGAACATGGCCAGTGTGGTTGTCCAAGAAGCGATGAAATTGGGTTCTGCAGATAACACGTCTGTTGCCATGGTTTGGCTAAAGAACCCGCAAGGGCAAGAGGACGACAAGCAAGCTACAGGCAATTGACGACTTCAATTGGTGTAATCTGTACTCCACTAGTGATGAAAGAATAGTAAATTTTATATTTTGCTTACTACGGAGATTCTAGCAAGGCAAGGCCTAGTTTTCTGAAATGTCAGAAAGAACGTTGCCAAAAGGCAGCATTGTAGACTGTCGCTTCTTCTTGTTCTCATTCTCCGGATGCTCAGAGAGCACCTTTCCAAATGGTAGCAATGTGGAAGACTCACCGTTCCTATTGGTCTGGGGACGCGGCTTGCCCGGAGAATCTGCCCGATGCGTTTTCGTTGACTTGCTGCTTGCCAGAGTGCTCCTGGCCTTGTCTTGTGGCTTGCGCTTCTTCAGTGCACTGTTTGGATCCAAAGGTACAATCCGCTGTCTTTGAGGAGCTGGAGATGCACGTGATACTTCCCGTTTCTTCTTGGTGCTGCTTTCAACCGCCGGCTTCACCGGTCGCTTCCTCGGAGGGGTCAATCGGGAGGATCTCTCAGCTGGCTTTCTCTTCACGGCACTCTGGACCATTCGCAGATGCATGAATTCAGTTCGTTTCTCCACCCAATTGTCCACGCCATCAGACTTCTTCAGTAACGTTCGAACCTCGGTGCTCAACAGATTCCGATCGAAACCCACCCCTTCATTGTCTTTCCATCGCTGCAACATCGCTGCCAACTGCTCCAACGTGGCAGTGTATTTACCTTGCATTTGCTTCCTAAACCGCTCCTCCTTCAGCAGTGCAGCGCTTCCAGACTTCTTGGTGAGCAGCCGTTGCTTGCTGCACCTCTTGACCTCAAACTCGGAGAGCCTTGCACTCAGAAGTCGCAGCTCAGAGTCCAAAGAAATGATTCTGCTTTTCGTGTCTTGTCTCGCCCTTAGTCGTTCGACTTGTCGGTGAATACGCTCCAGCTTGAACAGTCTAGTCTCGAGTCTCTTGTAGCATGATCGGCAGTTCTTGATCGCGGTGAGCACCCATTGTTCCTTGTCCTCGGTACAGATGCGAAGAACTTCGTCGAAAGGACTTTCGGTGCTGCTCTCCATTGCCTTGGTGGCCTCGTCGATTTCACTCCAAAACTTCCCGCGATCGAGCAGCGACACATTCAAAGCCTCCCAGACAACCGTCAGAGCTTCAATTTCGCTTTGAGTCATCGTTTCGACCCCTGTCTTTAGAGCATCCATCTCTGTAATGCACGCCTCCACAAACTCCTGGGAAAGTGGCGGCAGCCGAAAGAGAGCATCGTGGAAGCTCGTGTAGGCTTCGCTGGCATCCAATTCTCTCTCGACTGTGTCCAACAGCGTTTTCTGTGCTCTGTTGACAATTTCACGGAGCACCGAAGAGAGCTGACTCCGCCCTTTGGCAACACTTGACAGCGAGTCATGAATCATCTCCAAATGATCTGAAAACGGCCGCGATGCCGAAAGGACTCCGTTTCCTTGGACGACGCGTGTAGATGCTTCCACCAAACGCGACTGGTCCCACCAACTGGGAAGGTTGTCCAATCGTTGTTTCACACTGTGAAGAGACACGGCAACCACCTCGTCTTCAGAAAGGTTCATTTCTTGGACGAGCTTGTGCGAAAGGTTCAGCACTTCCGTGTTTCGCACCAAAAGCCTCGCTTTCTTCAACCTCAGCGAGGAGAGCTCTTCTTCGCAGCCCGACAGGAAACGATCGCTCAAGTTACCTTGGACGGGGCCATTTTGTTTTTCGCCGCTCATACCAGGGTCCTCATGCTCCTGAGATGCTTGCATCGCGGCCGTGTGCCGGATCAATGACTGAAGATCACTGGAAAGATCGGATTTCGAAATCATCATCGACGAAGTGATCTCCTGGGCATCCCGTGCAATCTTTTCTCGTCTCTCGAGGGCCCCTGCGACGGTTGGCTGCAACTTGGCACTCTCACCTTGCAACCACTCTAATCTTTGCAAGAGTGTCATCTCTGCTGGATCAGAGGTGCTGTCTCCCAGTTCCAATCCTAGTGCACTTTGCATTGTGTTGAGTTCACCTTCCAGTCTACTGATGGTGGTTGACGTTTTCGATTTCAAATCTGACGCTTCTTCCAGTTTGCGAGCGCATGTATCTTCCAGGCAAGACTCAATCTGCTGGCGAATTGCCTCTCGGTGGCCCAGATCGACACCCAGTTCTTGCCAAAGTAGCTGTGCCTTATCAAAGAACCCCTCCGATGGATGCACTCCGTCAGTCTGCTGGATGATGGTGTCGGCGAGTGTAAGCTTCTCCTTGACAGCAGCATGTTCGCCTCCAAGTTTCTCCATGTCCTTTTGCAGCTGTTCTTTTGAGGATGTTGCTTCGTTCAATCGGTCCTGAGCTTCCCGCAGCTTGTCTTCGAGACTGGACTTTTCTTCCTCCAAGTTTTGCAACATTTGCACCTGGTCCTCGCCAGAAAGGCGACGGCGACGTGAAATATCGTTTGTCAACCCTGTGATCTTGTTGCTGAGCGCTTCAACTTCATTCTCCAAGCTCACGAGGGCGCAATCTTTGCGTGCAACCGCACTGGCCACACGGCGGCGCTCGAGCTGTATCGACACAGAAGAAGCGGGTGAATGTTAGCTTTCAATATAGTCCACACGTATCCCGGCCGAGAGGATCACCCTTCGACTTACCTCTGTCTTTGCGTACAGCTCCACGGTCTCCATGAGCAACGTACGCAACACTGGTGCTGTCTTTGCAGCCAAAACCGACTCGGTGGTGTCATTATTGTTGTCGTCAGGGTCGTCATTGTTTGGCAGCCTGGCCCTCAAGTCTTCGAGTTCTCTTCCCAACACTTCCACTTTCAGTTCAAGTTCTTCGACATTCTGTTTGCGATCCTCGACATCATCGTCTTCCATTGCATCATCGTCTGTGTTCTCTAGAATCTTCACCTCCTTGACCATTTCTCGCATAGCCTCGCTGTATTCGGCCACTCTCTCTTCGTACTTCTGCTGTAGTTCAGATCGAGTCACCCTGTCTTTGACAAACTTCTCAAGCACGAACTTGGCAGACTTAACTTCGTCATCAAGAGGAGCAAAACTTGGTTCGTCCTCCTTACCGTCGGCATTTGGTAGAGGCGGCAGCATTGTGGACCGCCTTCGACCTGCTCCGATGGTGCTGGCCCGTTGTCTAAAGTCTCGTTGTCGCGAAGACAAAACCTTCATCAAATGAGTTTCGGTTTGCTTCATCTTCTTGTTGAGTTGGTGGATGTAATTCTGCCTCTTGTTCAAGTTGCTTTTGTGAAGTCGGACTTCATTCTGCAGCTTGGAAACATGCTTCTCCGCTTTCCTCTCTTTGCGTTTGAGGGCCATGATCTCTCTAGTTTTTGCGTCTGTGTATTCCTTGTGTTTCGCAGCAGCTTCCTTTTGCTTTTTCATGAGTGCAACCCGTCCGTGCTTCAGCTCAGTAATTTTGCGCTCCAGAGTTTTGCATTTCTGTGCTTCTTGTTCCGCCTTGCGGCACATTTGTCGATGCTTACGAGTCTCATTTCTCGCACGAGATAGGGTCTGCTCCACTTTTTCGAGCTTTTTCTTGATGGATGCAGAGCAGCCTGTTGATGGATCTGCCTTTGCCTTTTCAAGCTGATCGGCAAGCTGTTCCTTTTCGACTTCGAGCTGCTGCACTTCGGCCATCAACACTTCGTATTTCTCCTTCATATTGTGGTACACTCGCAAGCTCTCCTTGAGCTGTAGTAGCAAGCCTTCTTGCACGGCCAACTCGCCCTCTACCTGCTGGAGCTGCTCGTTATCCTTCTCCTGCTGCTGGCCAAATTTCTGGTCCTGATGCTGAACTTCGAGTAGCTGGTCGAGAATCGCCATTTCTGCGTCCGGATCTACCTCATCTAGTAGGGGATCGTCAAACTTCTCCAAGATGGACCGATTGGGAGTAGCTTCAATGACCGGGCTTCGCTTGTTGGAAAATCTGGTTCTTGCTGGGGACGCAAACTCCATAGCAGAAGGCGGTGAAACGCGAAAAGCCCCAGGTTGATTTGTCACTGGAGGGGCTGGGAGTAAGAGCAGAGAAGACGATGCCTCGGCTTGATTCGCAACTTCATGGAGTTGCAGAATGTAGTCTTGGACATCAGATCGATTCAACAAACTGTCGTCGATCTCACCAATCTTTTCGTCAGCATCAGTTGTTGCGTCGGTGCCAAGTTGGCGTTCTTTGAAACGCAATTTGACCAATTCACATTGCATCACACGTGTGAGGTTGTTCAGTCTATGCAGTTCTACAATATGGGCGTCCACGTTCTTTGTCGGAGCGTTCTTGATGTTCCTTGCGCGGTTAGCATAGTGCAACGTTGATACTGTTTCACCTGCATTAGTGTTCGACGGTGACACACAAGCAAGGAAGAGAGTTTGACTGTTTCCACCGAGGGCGTCCTGCAGTAGACGTGTGAGCTTAGATTGTCGATACGGGACATGCACTTTCTTTTCTTTGGCCAAGCGTTCCTCGTCTGCCAGTGCATTGATGACGTTCCCCAAAGCCAAGAGGCCTTCGTTGATCTTGATGCCCTCTCGAGCTCTTTCTCCTTCAGCTCCCGTTTTCTTCATCCTTTCACTTCCGGCCAAATCCACAAAGGTAAACTTGGACTCGGTTGTCATGTCAACGTCACCCGCATTAGCTGACCTCGTTGTTTTGGATAAGTGAATTGTAAACACTGCATGGGATCGACTCGAGGTAAGATTCATCAGCGTGGCAGCGGTTGTTCGATTCATGGTGCCTTCGTTCAACACTTCTAAGGCTTCGGCTGCGTTGACCACAGGACTATTTGTGAGTCCTGCTATAACGATCCCTCCGTTGGAGTCCTCCCGAAGCGGCAAAGATGGCCGATTGCTATCCAACAAATCATGAACATCTTCCCCATACACCTCCAAGAACGAAGCAGAGATTTTGAAGTCCATGGCTGCTGAACCATTACCATTGTTCTGCATGTCTTGCGAGAGAGACAAATCTTTCTGTCTTTGTAGCTGATCGAATATTTCTGCCAAGAATCGAGGAATCAACCCTGTATGCGCCGCGCTTTCAAACTCCGAGTGAGCCTCACTGCCCATGGTGAAAGTCTTTCCTGATCCTGTCTGGCCATACGCCATGATCTGTTCAATTCGACGAAAAATCAAAGGAAAAAATTGAGGATTTGTCTTCACATTGTTTCCAAGAAACATAGCTGGCTAGCTTATTGATCAGGAAACCAACTCACCGTCGCGTTGTATCCATCCACAAAACTGGCGAGCAAAGGTTTGGAGACACTTTCGTAGAGTTCTTGTTGCCCAACGAAGGAGTCGAATACGGCATCATACGTGAAGCGGCGCTCCCCAATCCCAACACATGGAGGCGAGATGTCCAGAACTCGCTTTCCTCCTTGCTTGATTTCATTGTTCGTCAGAGGTCTGATCCTCACACCCACGCGGACTTGACATGATGACGATGCACTGGGCGCCGCCATTGTTCTAGTGCTGAATGCGCATGAAGACGCCTTTCTCTTTGTTCTTTGTTTGTCCGAAACTGTTGCCACAAAACGAGATGGTCATGATGAATTTGTCAACGACTTTTCTTCATTTTGAATTTCTGGTACCTGAAATGCTGTAGAAACCTACGTCAGCATTAACGACACTTTCTGATTCGGAACATAGAGATTTAATGCAAATTGAGACGTGGATATTCATAAATCTCTACGTTGAAACATTCTCACAACTCTCCATTTCTTTTTGGCTTTTTGTGAATTCATCAAAAAGAGAGGCAACACTACATGTATAAACAGAAGAGCCTGCTTGTACCGGTATTGGTAGTCTACTGTGGGCTTGCTGCGGTATTGCCTACCGGTATGTAGGCAATGTCATGTAACTGCAGACAGCCAAGGAGCGCCGAAATTGTAAATTCTGTTCTACGGACAGTGAGATCATGACAAGTTTGCTCCTTGATGCTCCATAGCTGTTGTGACCCCGGGAACCGGCCAACAGGCTGAGCCACCAGCAGCTAGAAAGCCCTCCAACGATCGCACATTGCACTACATGAAGCTATGCATAGAAGGATCCTATCGTCGTTCTCTCAAAACCCGTTGGGTCAGATCTCGGTTCCTTTTCCCATACATGTAGTCTAGGAATCCGATTCGATACACGTCAGCCTGTCACCCTCATCACGTCTGAGCAGAGTTCGATTGATATTTGCAGGCGCAAAGGAACCAGACCATCAGTGTGAAAGAACGGATTGGAGGGAAAATCTTGAGAAGACGAAATTGCAGCGCTTGACAAATAGGCTCCATTGGGCTGCCAGAACTCGCTCGTACGTACCGTGGAGACTACCTAGATCTGATGCAGGTGGTATCTTGGTCATGGTCAAAGTGAGTTGAAGGTCCTGGCTAGCATGATGGTTGATACTCCGCCTGAGAACAAACCACATCCATAGCCATCCATGGGCCTCAAGCCAGCGACCTGCAATTTCACCCATCAAGATCTTCCGTCAGCGAAAGTCGGAGTCACACATGCAGAACAAAAGCTTGATCCACGCACTGAGAAAGCTCTGGGCTCTGGTTGCAATCCCAATGCCATTGATGCTTTCAAGTAGAATAACAACACAGCGGATACCCCAGAGTATTGCTAAGCTAGCTAGTAGTAGCGAAGCAAACACAGAGGAAGGATCATCATTAGCACTATGTTTCACCACGAAGTTGAAGAATCTGGCGAGAAACCCGATGATGCCTCGGAAGCAGCCACTGTGCCACCCTCGTCGCCATCGATAGCGGCATCGCCGTATTGGGGCCAGTCAACAGCCCCAGCCAAGCCAGAAGGGTTCTCCCCCGCGGTCGGTTTTTGCTTCGCCATCAACTACATCCTCGGGACTGGATTCTTGACTGTGCCATGGGCATTCAGCCAAGGTGGTTTGGTTTTGTCCACTGTGGTCATTATTGCGGTTGGTTTCTTCTCGGATATGGCCAAGAACTACTTGTTGGAGACCATGGCAAGAGCAGAAGCCATGTTAGATAATCGGATGCACTGGATAAAAAGACAACCAGGAGACGAAGAAAAGATGCGACTCATTTACTCACCCGTGATTATGAGGACAGAATCCAGCGATCTTTTGCAATCGACTCCTAAGCCCCACAACTATGACAGTACTGGCAACCTTTCAGCTCATGGAGGGAAACTGGCCCCTGCTTATTCTCTTCCAGGCACGCCAGGAGCAAGTCTGCCAGGGACTCCACTCCCTTCTCAACCAGGAACACCCAGCAAACAACAGCATGGCCGTCATCTCATCCACAGACCACCGCCAAAATACCTTGTGAAACATCGAAAATTTGAAGTCAATTCACTTTGCAGAGTTTTTCTGGGAAAACCAGGGCTTCGTCTGTACACGGCATTTATCTGTCTCTATATATACTGCACACTCTGGGCCTACACATCAGTTTTTGCAAGTGCCATTGCCAATGCAGTTCCAATATTGGGAGACGACAACTACGACACCAACTACCTCATCTTTGCATTGATTTTTGCCGCCATGGTTGTCCCCATGTCCTGTATGGAACTGGACGAACAAGTTGTTGTCCAAGTGATTATGACGGGTGCCCGCTTTCTCATGCTGGCTCTCATGGTTGGCACCAGCTCTCTGTGTGCAGACGATGTCCACAACCACAGCAAGAAAACATTTGAAGAAGCACCAATGTTTCATCTTGCAGGGATTCACAAAATGCTTCCCATCATGGTGTTTGCGCACATTTATCATCACTCCATCCCTGGCTTGGCCAACCCAGTCAATAACAAGAAGAGTTTGAGTGGCATGTTCCGAGCAACAACAACGTTCAGCACCATCGCTTATGCCTTTATTGGAATTGTTTTGGCATCCACTTTTGGCAAACACATTGAGCAATCTTCTAATCTCAACTGGAACAATTTCACAGGCGGAACAGCTGTATTGAACAAGGAAGGTGAAATTGTTTCCGTTGCTTGGTGGGCCAAGGCCATCTCAATTTATGTTCTGTGCTTTCCAGCCTTGGATGTGGTATCAGCTTTTCCATTGAATGCCATCACTTTGGGAAACAACATGATGGGATCTTACTATGGCAAGAGGATTCATGAAGTGGAGGTGAGTCTTTTTGCTTTTCGGTTTGGTCACATTTCGTCTGTTTTCCTATCATGGCTCTGACATACCTATTGCATGGCTGTCTCACTACCCGTATCCAGCACAACCGTTGGATACGAATACGATTCCGTCTTTTGGCAGGCATCCCACCAATCATCTTTGGTATCTTGGAACGACAATTAGGCACCATCACTGACTACGCAGGTACAACAGGTTTCATGATTGGTTTTAGCTTTCCTGCATTGCTTTACCTACGAAGTCGAATGAAGGCCAAGAAAAAGCACTTCAACGCGACAACCTTTTATTCATCCTATGCCTCCTCCAGTGTTGCGGCCTGGGCATTGTTCTACTTTGGAGCTGTCATGGTTGTTTATGTAGTGTGCTGCCTTGTGACACGCATGGGTGACGAGGACGATGATGAGCGTAGACGAGGTAGGTCGTTGATGTTTGTTGGGCCGGATTGGCTACTACAGTGAACTGTGAGGGCCATGTATGGGTGTATATTTTACGGCTACCAATATGTGGATGACATAGACAAAACAGGAATGTGTAGTGCTTAATAGAATTATTCCAAGCTTGAAAGTTTTCGACCTAGCTAGTCTTGTTGGCCAGTTGTAGCCTCTTGGAAGACAATTCACATCGCTTGCGCTCTACATCTCTCTTGGATGCGCCCCTGTATTGTACTATTGGTTGTATCATCGTTTTTGAGCTCTCCAGCCAGATATATTTTGCTGCATGACTTTATTCAGTACGCTACGGGCTGACAGATTCCCGATGAAGATGCCACAATCATCTTTCTGCACGATCAGGACCGGCGTAGGATTCCGCATACTTCGTTGCTGCCTCGATCTGTTGTGCCGTTACTTCCTTGGTCCACCCAAGCTCATTGGCCATGAGCTCTGCAACTTTGGGAATTGCTTGCAATGCGGCCTCCTTGTTTAGGAAGGCTAATCGTGTTCTTCGACTTAAAATATCCTCAACCGTACAAGCATACTCTCTGCAGGCGTAGATTACTTCTGCTTCAATGTACGGGTATCCGGCAACAATTGGTGTTGGTTTGGAAATGCCGCACAAATCCCACGCTTGTCCTCCGTATGTTCTGGCAAGATGCTCTGCTACATGCTCCGGCATTCCATGCTTTTGAATCAACTTGATCTTGAGATTATCTTCGTCTGAGGGTGAAGGTAGATGGATGAGTGCAAGCCTGTTGCAGTCAAAGAAGCAATGATGTAAATTATTGTTCCATGCGACACTTACATCCATCGTGACCAAACAACTTTGCGTCCAACGTTGAACACTTGGGACCACTTTTTCCGACAACCCGGTCCACAATCTGTTGAGCCATGACTCTCCACGTAGCTTGACGAAATAAGATGAGATGAAGCAAATGGGTGAGCTCCTGGTCAACATACCATCCAGCTAGCATTCATATGTACTTACTCCACTTTCCCCCCGCAATGAAGATGATTCCCGTCTCCTCATTTTCACTAATCACATGATCTCTGCTGACTGGTGCACCCGGTGGAGCATGAGGGTCAACCGCCAGGGGCCTCCATCCCTGCCAGGCACAGTTGACATCGGATCGACGAACTTCCAAATCGTTACTAAGGTAAGTTTTGCATTCATTCAAGATCCAATCCACTTCATCCTCGGGTGGACCAGGAAGCGTATGTGCTGAACTTTTGCCATCGGTGGTTCCAATCAAAGTATGGTTTTCCCAGGGCAGTATAAAGAGGAACCTGCCATCACTCGTATTGTAATCCAGCAACCCCATCTGGGTTTCGTTGATAGGAGTCGAATCGTGATGAGTCATGATCGTACACGTGTACAGTATGCCAACCAAGAACCACTTTTTCAATGACTACTCACCTGGCTACTGCAGTAATAGCTCGGCAACACAACATGCGTCCCGGCACCTCCTTGCACAGCTGGTTTGGTCGCCTCGCCCGTTTCCATTCGTCTCAAGTCATCCGTAAAGGGTCCTCCTGCAAATACCACTCTCTTTGCTTTCAATGCTAATTGTTGACCAGTCATTCTATCCACAGCATTGACTCCAACAACCTTTTTCGTACCGTCTTGGATGACACTTTCCATTTCCACATAGTTGACTATACTGGCTCCATGTTCTGCTGCTGACAAGGCAATGGCCAAGTTCGTCCTCGCGTCATTGTGAATTGCTTCAAAAAAGACAGAGGCATAGAGAATATCTTCATGTGCCATTTGTGGAAATACTTCCTTTGCCTTTTTGGGCAACATAATGTAGGAGGGTGGACACTGGAACAAACTGAGGGCATCATAAAATTTCATGACCATGGGTGACAAGATGGGAAAGAACCCAAACAACCAATGTCCAAAAGGTGGTGGACTGACATGCCATTTGGTAAAGGGCACGGCGATGGGTATCCAGCTGCACAAATGCGGTTGTTTGGCCGTCATGAATTTTCGTTCTTGATGGCATTCCAGCACCATGGCCATTTCGCCATAGAAATCCTGAATCGTAGCCACTGGGTTGGTGAACAATCGTTTGGAAAGCAAGGCTGCGGATGCCGTGGCCATATATTTTATACCAGCCCAAATCAGTTTGGTGGATCGAGAAGACGTTTCCGAGGCAAAATCCCCTCGTTCAATACAGGCCACTTGAAGTCCTCGCATGGCCGCATCGAGAGCAATTCCAGCACCTGTGGCTCCGCCTCCTACCACCACAATGTCATATTCCTGCTTGTTGTTGATGTCGGCACTATGTTGTTGCAATCGACGAATTTGTTCTGCACGAGAGGGTATTTTGCTGGTAGGACCATTCACTTCCTTGGGATTCGATAAAACACTGGTTAGTGCCAACCCAGGGTCTCGATCAGGGGTATTATTCAAAGCGGTAGAACTGAAGACTCTGACTCTTGTCCATCTGCTAGCACTAGCTGTGCTTGTGACTGTGTACCGTAGTGAAGCAATCCGTAACATCGTCGTCGTCTTGATACAAAAGGACTCTCTCTTTGAGCAATGGGGTCAAAGTGTTGTGGTGTTGTTTTGTTTCAAGCAACGAAATCTTTTGGCGTTCTCATGATGACGTACCGTAAGGTGCAGAAACTTGACGGAAGATACCGGTACAATACTGTACGAATCGAATCGAATCGAATCGAATCGATTGAAGATTCACGGTTTTGGTTTTTTCAGTTGCTGCCATGAAAACACCACACACAATCACTCGAGCTGCTCGATTGTTGTTGTAACACTGCTATTGCTTGACCCTTCAGCTTGGGATGAACCCACTTTCTACCTTCAGGGCTCTTCAGACGCTGTCACGAAGACAATTGTCCACCATGGCTGACTCCAAGTTCCCGGTGACTGCTGCCATCCGAAAGAATTTGGATGACGCATTCAATCCCATCCATCTGGAGGTTATCAACGAAAGCCACAAGCACAACGTGCCCAAGGACTCGGAAACTCACTTTAAGGTGGTAGTCGTCTCACCAGAGTTTGAAAAGACAAAGACTCTGATCCAACGGCATCGTCTCGTCAACGATGCGCTTTCCAAACAATTGGAAGGACCAGTACACGCTTTGAGCATTGTGGCCAAGACGCCAGCTCAATGGCAAAAAATGGTGGATGCAGGTGAAAAGATAGAGCCATCGCCAGCTTGCAGAGGAGGAGATGGCAGTCTACCGTCCAACTAGCTACTTAATTTACTCGTCAAAAAACAAATTCTACATCTATACCTCTCAGAGAGTTGCTATTTCACGTAGCCAAACTATACGTGTAGACACAATTGCCACTTTATACTCTGCCTCATAGCAACAAAGTCGTGGGTGCTGGCTATAGCTACGAGTCATCATCGCCCATGGCACCGAGGGCAAGGCCAGCAATATCGCCGATCAGGGACAGGAGGCAGCACAAGCCAGCGGCCGCCTCGACACCGCCAAGTAGCCCTCCCATATCAAAGCCTTTGTCCAAGTGCATGGCATCTTCGTCCGCCCCGAAGCGATAGGGCAGATCCAAAACGGTTCCACTGTGGCAGCAATCCTGAACAAAAGCAGAAGCAAACGAATATATGAGGTTGTCCAAGACAAGCCGTGCATGAGCAAAAGCAAAATCGCTTACCATTAGAACTGTACATGTAACACCTTTCAAAAAGGAAAACAAAGAGTGAGACTTGAGCTGAGAGGCAAAAAACTAATCAAGGCATGCATGCCACTTGTTCAGCGAATACAAGACAAACCCCCGAACGAGTGGCATGCGAACAATTTTTTCGAGGACCGCACCTGCTGGCATTGGCTTTACCAGAATTTTTAGAATGTCGTCATCAATTATCTGTCCAGCATGCTTAAAGTCCACAGGGATCAGCGTTTCGTCGTATCCATCATCCTCGTCGCCTTTGCAGAAAGAAGCAGTGCAGTGAAGTGTGGTGCAACGTTTAAGAAGAACGGTTCCGTCGGATCCTCATTCACATCTCTTTCCTCTGGTTCCAAGTTGGCATCTTACCGCTCGTATCTCTGACCCGTCCACCATGTCCTGAATAGTGAACAAAGACCGCGTCTCCTGCTTTGGCATACTGAGTGATCCTAGTGAAGGCTTGTTCAATGTTTTGCTTGGTTGGCTCGTGATGTTGTCCATCATCCATCATAATCAGCATGTCGCTTTCTTTGAAACCTTGACACTGGATCAAGTATTCTTTGTTTGTTTCATTTCATGGAAGCAATGTTTGCATGAGCTCTGACAGGCTTTCTTATAGAGAATATTTCAGAAAGGATAGAATAGTTGGACCTACCTTTGATATTCTTGATTCGTGAAGAGTGACGAGTCATTCATGAGCTTGCATACAGCAAACAGTCACTTGATCATACCAAAAGTTGGCTTTCTACCAGCTTGCCTGACCTACCTTGACCTGTGTGAATGTGGGGTACAAGCATTGTTAGAAAGGACTGCATCAGAACGGAGTTCAGTCCAGCAAGAAGTATCAACTTACATCATTGTGACACTGGGGAATGGTAGTATGGGCAGAAGCCAAGCATGAAAGTTAGGACACGAAAGTCAAAGTTGACAGACACAATGTACGATAGTTTGCTTACTCCTCTCAATTCTCCTTGCTGTCCTCGGTAGTTGATTCCAATCAAAATAGCTCTCCTGGTTCCTTCGAAACCCGGTGGCACAATATACATCGATTTGTCCACATCTACCAATCGAGAGCTTTACAAATAAATAGTGGATTGTGGCGTTTGAGAAAGATTGCCTTTCATCAATTCTTTTTGGAAGCATTACACTTACCTGGTAAGTTGTGGGATTTGCTAAGATGCAACAACAAAGAACATTTTGAAGATGAGTGTTGCATGGGTGTTTGATCTGATCAGATCATCAAGAATATGTCGCCTGTGTTTACGCACATCGAATCCCATTCCATTCAGTACAGATCTCATTTGTCGGAGGAGTTGCACCCAACTCAAGTCACCCACGTCTTGACCATCCTTGTAGAGGACTTGCAGAAGGGCTGATGTACAGGCCCCACCAGCTTTTCCTGCTGGGTTGGGGAGCTGAAATTGACCAACATTGAAGGCATCAGCAGATGTTTGGGAATCATGAGATCCAGAGATCATATGAAACTCGGCTGGAATAGCATTTCGAATGGCTTCTTCGTCCGACATGGTATATTTGTCAAGCTTTCTTTGGCAGGATGTCTACTCAGTTATTCTGCGTTCTTCAGACCTACCGGCACTGTGTTCTGCTGGTGTAGTATGAAAATAGAATCGTGAGTGTCCTAATACATGCATGTAAGGACAGCTTTCTCAATGACAGCCAAGAAAGAAAAGTTTGCGGAGGGATCTACCAGGTATGTTCTTTCTTAGATGTGCCGCCAAGCTTCCGAGTGGCCATGGTCGATCTTTCGATTTTTACATGTCAACGCATCGTCTGTCCGCCTCCCCGCTGACTGGGTAAAAAAAGATATCGGTACATCGTACTAGTACCGTATGGTACAGGCTACAGAAGTCCAAGCGATCGGAACACCCTGATGTTGAGCTGAAAGAATGAGGGCGGAAGCGAGACGCTCTTGACGACCGAATAGTGTCGATCTCTCATTCTCTACAGGCAACAGCCAGCTGGCACAGATAGAAGTTGCACTCGTAACAGTGTGCCGGCTCCGATAGCGTTTTGAGATACCCCCTAATGAGTGTACATCCGATTCTCACGGCAGCATAGAGGGCTCTTGCATATCCACAATACTACAAAATGAGACGAAGAAGAGAGGAGGTTCCTTTGGTAGATGCTACCTGCTATTATTCATTATATTCTACGGCACTCTCCAAGATAACCGCCGTCTTGTTTCGTTGTTTCAAATTTCCATCACATAAATATCCAGCTTGGATTCATCCTCGTTCGGTTCTTCCGTCAACTCGAATTTAGCTGACCTCGTTGTGGAACTGTTATTCAATCAAAACGGCAAAACAAACAGGAAGGGATGTTAGATGGTAGCTAATTTTTCACGGAAGATCCATGATCCTTTCAACTCATCATCTACTCACGTTACCGGGTCTGAGGGATCGGTCAACAACCAAAAAGTCACGGCCCTGCTTGGGCTTTTCCTTGGTGGGCTTCTTCTTGTCAGCGGGCTTGGCAGGAGGCATGATATCGACTTGGCTTTTTCTTTCTGTTTCTTTTTGTGTCTTCAAACTTTGGTGCTTGTGATTTTATGGCTGTGTTGCTGGTTTGGTTGTCAAAAGGATGGGAGCTCGAGCTCCCACAGAAGATCCTTGGGAAAGGGACGAGAACCCCAACTACGATTAGCACCGGTGAACAGAAGCTTCTTCATCGACAAGTTTAGCTTTTCTTTTTGCAGAGTGTTGACACTCGTGATTAAGTTAATGGTAACCTTAGCTCTATACAGTCCTTTGAATTTACTAGTACTGGCTTCACGCGGCATTGGCGGCTGGCATTGGCAGCTGTTTTGGCTACTGCCGATTCAATCGAATGTTTGTTCGAATCGAATCGAATGATTGATTCGATTCGATTCGAGTCAATCATTCGAATTTTCGTCTCCCGACAAAGTCGTCCTCATCATTATTCGTGCACCGAGCCAAAGAGCACCACTTCGCTTGATTGAAGGCAAAGAAGAGTGTTGTGTCAGATTGTTGTTGTTTCTTGTCTCTTCGTTACTATTAATAGTAGCTCGCTTGCTCACTCTTTCTACTTGCCTTGCTTGTTACCGGCATCGGTACGACCACCGCGATTCAATTGCTTCATCGCACCTTCAAGCCGAGAAAACGTCGTACACGTTCAACTTTCCGACCACCACCAAATCATCCACAAAACAACCATGAGCTCGTCTCCCCATCCTTTTTCATCTTCTGCCACGCCCAAAAAGCCGTCGCCAACAACCATGACACCGGGTGTTCGTCACCCTGAGACTGGAAAGCCTTTGTCAGCCTTCACGGCCCGTTGTGGTTGTGGAGGCATCACTGGAATTTGCGGGTCTTCCAAAGGATCTTCCAAGTGGAAGGCCCACATCCGCACTGTCAAGCACGCCAAGTGGGAGTCGACTCGAACTCCAACAGCCACCACGCCTCTGACTCCAGTGGCGTCTACGACGACGACGCCATTGTCGCCACACTAATTTTGTGTGTCGAGTCGTGACGATTCACTCTGAATCGAATCACGCAACCAAATACATGTCTGCGATCGACGGCTTGAATTTCCATCTCTCGCTGTGACGACGGTGGAAACACTTTGAACAAGAATGTAGCGGAAGAGAGGCGGTGAGATAGAAGCCCACAAGAGTGCTGCGGTGGGTGGGTTTTGGAGGGATCGATCGTGCGAGCTCGGCGAAGAGCACTCGATGGCGAACGGTCTCAAACTCACGAAGAGCATATCAATAGGAATAGTGTATTGTACCATAGTGGCCAAAAAGAAGTGTTCACTTTGAGTCTGCCAACTGCACACGTTGCGACCTTCGAACAAGATACTGGTACATCGTCGAACGCGGCGTCTGCGTCGGTCCCGTGTCCGTCCCTGGGCCTTCAAACTTCTGAAGCACTGTCGCACGGTTGAGATGGAAGTTCCTTGTCTCTGCTGCCTGATGGGAGGTACAAACCGTCATTGACTGCACCGGTACCTAAGCGTGCATGTATTGGACGGTACATCTGTACTGTACCGGTACAGCTAGGGGAACCTGCTCGGTACCGGTGGTCCCGATGACGTTCATCAATAGTAATTCCTTTTGCGCTTCATGTTAGTGTCACTCAGTGCTGGCCTGAAGCTTCACTTGCCTCGACGGCTTCTTCTTTTCGCACCGACACGATAGAACGAAGCATACCGTAACTAGAATGGCAGCGTTCTAGAGAGAAGGCGGGACCGAACAAGCCATCTACCGGTACCAGGTACGGTTCGGTATCGTACCTATGATTTTAGCTGTTCTGTTTTCAAAAGAGAGCTTTAATTGCAGCTGCAGTCACAACCACAGAGAAAAACATCGCAATCAAAAGTAAAGTTTGTGGGCCCAAGGCTACACAACAGCTCTGGAACGGTACCTTCCAATCGATTGTTGTCCAGATGCAGGGTTTTTAGAGACCCTGCAGTGACCAATGATATGATTCCATCTGGAATTGTCCCAAACAATGAATTGTGTGATAGGTCCAGGCTCTCCACCTTGGTAAATCGTTGTATTCCGCTCGAATCAAGAACGTTCATCCAGTTGCGGGACAAGTCCAGGGATTTCAAGTTTCCTGCTATAGGCTTCAAAATTCTCAAAATGAGAGGAAGACCCTCCAATCGGCAGTTTTGCAAGCTCAAGTGCCTTAGAGACGTCACCAAGCCAATTTCATCGGGAATGTCTCCAATTATGTCGATCCCAGTCAAAGACAGCAACTCAAGATTCGTGAGGAGCGCAATGTTTTCCCGAGGTATCCTGTCAAGATAAGCAGGCTCAACAAAGTCTAGGTGTATACTCCTCAAGGTCGTCAGCAAGAATACTTCAGGGGCCAGTGCTCGGAGATTGTTGTCCTGGAGCCACAAATGTTGATACCTTCCATTGCCGTCACACGGAGCTGCATGGTCCTGATGCCATTGACAATCATCAATGTCATACTGCAACCACCCACTGTTGTTTTTCCAACTTCCACCATCTGCACCATAATAAACTGAAGCCAAAACAAACCTCTGAAAAATGTGCCAAGCTGAATAGGCAGAAAGAAGGGGGTCCTCTTTCACCCAACGAAACGCCATTCCTTGTGGTGATGCTGGATTCTTGATATCACGAACAGTTTCTCTGGGGAGGGCTGAAGCATTGATACCGGTACATACACAGTTGCAACCACAAAGGAATTCATTGCCACTACCAATGCAGTCAAGGGAGAGTGCAGGGCAGAGTTCCTCTGGAACACTACCACTCAGATCATTATTATCCAGCCACAAGCTTGTCAGGGTCTCACTGGTCGCCAATGCCAACAATTCAACTGGGACTGCCCCAACCAAAGCATTTGAGGAAAGGTCAAGACTCTCCAAACTGGTCAGTTGTCCAAGTATTGATGACGAAGCAGCAATGGAGTTGTGGGACAAGTCAAGAGATTTCAGATGCCCAGCCAGAAATAGCAGATTCTCTGGTATGACCTCTAGATTATTGTCCTTGAGACCCAAATCAGCGAGAGATGGCAGTCTAGTAATTGGGTCAGGTAGGTTCGACAACCTCATGCCAGAAAGAGACACTGACTCTAGTTCTGTGCATCTTTCAATTTCACCTGGCACTGGCACTGATAGAAGGTCACTGCTGAAGCCCAAGCTGATCGTCTTCAGCGATGACAGCAAGAACAACTCTGGTGGTATAGAACCCTGAAGGTTATTGCTCTGGATCAAAAAGTGCTTGAATGTTCCACTGTTTTGATCACATGGAGTTGTATGCTCTTGATACCATTGGCACTCATCGATTTCATACTGAAGCCAGCCTGTTTTCTCAATCCATGAATCTCCCCCTGTTGCATGATAGAAGGTGACCAATGCAAACCTCTGGAGAATGCGCCAGGTTGGATAAGTAGAAGCAGATGGGTCTCCATTCACGTATTGAAATGCTTTGGCTTGAGGTGAATCTGGGAAATATTTAATCTGTGAAATTGTTTGACTGGGCAGCATGATGGAAATGGCCTCAATCCCACTGCAATTGCAGCCACAGCCGCAAAGTAGGAGATCGCAATCAGATTGAAAGGCTTGAGACAGACTGGGACAGAGTCCCTCCGGGATTGTTCCGTGGAAAAGATTATTCTCCAGCTCCAAGGATGTCAGATTCCCTGCAGTTGCCAATGTTTCCAATTCAATCGGTATTGTCCCAGAAAGCTGGTTGTCCTTTAAAAGCAGCCGTTCCAGGTTAGTGAAAAGCCCAGTCTCTGATGGAAGTGGAGCAGTCAGTAAGTTGGACTGAAGTGAAAGCTCTTTCAAAGCAGTCAACTGTCCAACAGCAGAAGGAATCGCCTCTTTTAGCCGATTGACACTAAGATCCAGACTCTCTAAGTTCCTCATCTGTCCAATTGTTGATGGAATTATTTCAAGCCGGTTTCCTGACAAATCCAAATGTGTCAGACTCCCACTGCTGAAATGATTAAAGGGAAAGGGTGAGTGATATCTGTTGTTCCTGAGACTCAGAAAACTGAGCGAGCTCAATCGCAAAACTTCAGTGGGTATGCTCTGAAGATTGAGATTTCCCAGGTAAACAGATTGCAAATTGGTGCACAAACCAATTTCACTGGGCATCTTTCTTTCTCCCGTAGTGGAATTCATGTCCAGATCCATTGAGGTAAGAGATGACGCCAAAAACAGCTCTGGAGGTAGACTGCCATGTAGTCCATTGTCTCGAAGCCACAAGTGTCTATATTCGTATTCCCCGTCCTCGGATTGGTTGTGTTGATTGAAATTCTCGCACGGGCTGCTGAGGTTTGTACCTGGATGGGCCTGGAGATACCACTGGCACTCATGAATCTCATATTGCAGCCACCCACTATTATTGTTCCAGTTGTCTCCACCTGTGGCATGATAGAAAGCAGCCAAGCCAAATCTTTGCAAGACACGCCAAACTGGGTAGTTCAGCAGGGAAGGATCTTCCACCACAAAACTAAACGCCTTGGATTGGGCTGAATTGGGGTACTTTCGAATGGTACTAAGCATGTACTCCGGAAGGACGGATGCGACAAATCCCGCCGAGATAGTTGTGGGCTGCAGGGATGGAGCAAATGATGGTGCGCTGGTGGGAGACTCGGATGGCGCTGTTGTAGGCGGATTTGGGGGTGTTGGGTTAGGCGTGGGAACGTCTTCATTGTTGCTGTTGACAGATAAGGCCACCGCCAGAACAACAGTAAACACACAGACAAGACAAAGTATCAAAGAACCACATAAGATGTCCTGCCGTTCCATTCCTCGCAGCATCGGCACATTTTTCCACCATTCATTTGTCTGAGTTCTGTCGTTCTCGCTGGGTTCAGCGGGAGTGGCTTGTTGAATCGCCTCAACTTCGGCTTGCTGGGCCCCAGCCTGGGGAAAGGCTCCTACTAACTCCGCCGAGCTTGGGTCAAGAGTGGCCTTTAGGATATGCCTTGCTTCACGACGATCATTCATTGCCTTGCAACGTGCAGTGGTACTAGCTAGCTTAGTAGAGATACAAAACAGTGTGACAGTGCACTGACTTCGTCTTTTCATGCTTTTCAGACTTCGCTGGAGAAAGATATCGGGCGCAATGTACCGTACGTGAGTCCCAACGGCCTTGCTGCCTTCCCCGTTTTACCATACAGCCTGAGTAGACTACGATGTACTAGTACCGTACGGTAGAATCGAATCCCGTCTCTGTCTGGTTGACAGCTGATGAGGGTGCATCAGTCTTTTGAGCTACATGTAGCTATTAAATAGCTAGACTATTGTTGCTACTGTGGCTAGCTCGCAAATAAATGATCTGCTTTACTAAAGGCCGTTTTTTTGTACCTTACCTCTACTTAGCAAAGCGGCGGTAGTTGGTTATATATATATTCTACTTTTTGTAAAATCTCATGAAAATGATGAAAAAGATGAGGAGGGCAAATACCTTGATGATGAGTCCTCTGTTTCCCTTTTTAATGTCGTAGAGGGTGGTGATTTCTTGTTGTCCCGCAATGACTTCGACCAATCCTTCTTCGACATCATCTTCCACCCGTTCGACGACTTCTCCTTGTTGTACGACGAGATTAGCCATTTTACTAAACATGGTCATGAGCGATGCCAATTTGGTTTCTGCCTGTTGTGCTTCTTCGAGTCGATTTTGTGTTTGCCGTTTGTTTTGTCGTTGTTGAATTTGTGCTTGGATCTTGTCGGCTTCTTCTTGATCCTCATCGTTGTTGTTTGCATAATAGTGGCCGTTGTTGTTGTTTGACTTGCTGTTGTTGTTACCTCGACGTTGTCTCATTCCCGAAGTCGCTGGTCCACCAGGAGTTCCATAATAACTGCCTGTTCCACTGCCATAGGCACCACTGTTGGAACCGTATCCACCGTATCCGCCACCATACGCGCCATTATTGTTGGTGTTGTTTGTGGTTCCATTATTAGTTTTGCTGCCAGCTCCATTGGAATAATTCGTATTGGTGCCGAGTGGTTTTGGCAAGGGCGACATTGTGAAAAGAGGGGTATCCATGGCTTTGGGGGCTACCGTTTTGGTGTGTGTCGTGACGACTGTAGCGGTAGAATTGCTGTTATTGACAGCGGGTCCTTGTGGATTGAGCATTTTTTTGCGTTCTTCTTGGGATGCCAGTACATTTCCTCTGACTTTTAGAATTTCCTTTAATTTGGCCATTTGTTGGGTGGCTACCGATTCCAGCCAGGTAGCAATGAGCGCGGTGTGTCGTTGATACTGTGCCGTGGCGTATGGCGCGGCAAATCCCGTTTTGACCAAGGAGGACAATTCGTTGGCATCGGTTTCGAGTCGTCGTACCGAAGCGGCAATTTCTTCAGTGGGATCGTTGGTGTGACCTCTTCTTCGGACGAGAGTTTCCAATTGCTTCAATTCGGCGTCCATGGTTCGCAGCAACGACAATCCATCTTCCGTGAGAGTATCCAAGGGAGTGTCGTTGCGTATAATGTTTTTCCAAGAACACAAGGCCAACAGATTGGGTTCTTGACAGGCCCACCACATGGAACCGCCGTAGTCATCGTCGTTGGCGTGTTGTGCTTTTCCAATCTTCAAGGCGGTTTTGGCACAAGACAGAAGCTCGGACGACCGAGAGACGGCATGTGAAAAGGACGATCCACCATTGGCCGTGTTGGTAACAGCTGTTATGGCCATGATGATACCCTACGGTTGCTACGGTAGCTAGAATGATAATCACTTGGTGGATAGTAGATCTACTGCGAGATAATGAATCGTACGCAGTTCACGATAAGGGTTGCTAGCTATGATTGCTGTCGCTGTGATAGTATACATCTACCGGTTCATGTACCAACAGCCAGCATGTCGATCCAGGCGCCGCGTCGAGCCGTCGAGATAACACTGCCAAATGTTTCTGAGCCAGCCAAGCTGTTTCTGCGTCATCGATTTTCCTCTTCGAAGATCCGCACTTTTTGTTCCTCTCCCCCCATCGGAACAAGATGACGAAGAGAACGACGGTAGTGAATCGAATCATTCAACCATCCACTCAGCATCATTTATTTGCTAGCTAGCTACCTAGTAGTACTCTAGTCTATAATATTCAGTTCATGATCCTCTCGCTACTAGCTAGTACCGTAGCACAATGGAAGATTTGGAAAGTAGCAGACCTGATGCTTCCTTGGAGAACAAGGACGGCAAGGAACATGACAAACCAAAGATTCCTTCGACGCATGCTACCGATGCCACTTCCACCAATACCAAAGGAGTCCGTTGGTCGTCTGATGTGAAGGATCATCATCCAAAGGAGCAGAAGAAACAGCACTCAGATACTGTTAGTACTCCCATTGACATAGATGCTGCTACTGGAGTAGCCCGTCTTCCCTCATTGGATACCCCGGATGTTCCACCAGATTCCGCCGCCACCACCAGTGGCAGAGTAATGCTGGAAGATGACTGGGAATTGACCTGGCCTATTTGGCACTTGTTGCCCTTGCATGAACGGAGAGAAATTGCACATCGTCATGGCTACAATACCATTGGAGCCTTTGAAGAGTACATGAGTTTGCAGCAGGCGCTCGATAAGGATATACATGTACCGTCAGCAGCCAGCAAACCGTATAGCAGCAATAATGTACCACCCGATAAACGCAAGCAGGAAGCACAACAACTGGGAGGCCTCCAGAACAAACAGCAACAAGAAGAGGAAGAAGAAGACTCGGATTTGGAAGAGGACGACGAAGGGAATGCAACATCCACAGAAGAGGAAGACAACAACAACAACTCGGAGGATGACGACGACAACGATTCCTTGCTGCTGACATTTCCCGATGAAATTCTACACAAAATTTTCTCCTTTTTACCCGTCACACTCTATGGAACCAAGTTGGCATACGTATCGCGGCATCATGCGCATTGGAGACGCGTCACGGGCAGTGAGGCCGTCATGAAACAGTTGTGCGAACGGGTATACTTGCAACAATCCAAAAAGAAACAATTGAGAATTGCCAAATTCCATCATTCCTACCGATACATGCTCTATGCACGACCACGGGTCCAAGCCGGAGGGGGTGTCTACATTTTGAGATTTGGAAGGGTCAAACCCATTCAACGAGACATGTGGACGTCTGTTCGACCCGGGGCCATTCTCGAAACCGTCTATTATCGGTATCTCTATTTTGAAGAACAGGGACATTGCCTCTATGCACTCACCACCATTCCACCGCATGACATGTTGAGACGATTTCATCGAGTATTGTTGCAGTCGTCCCGGGACAATACTAATAATACCGGCACTGTAGAATTTGCTGCGAGTAGTACCAGTTCCACAACCACCAAAAAGAACAAGCCACGCAAACTCACGGCAAAGGAAAAGGAACGAAGGGCCGCCGAAATGGATACTCGTGTGGTTTGGGGAACTTACACCATTCAAAAGGATAGAATCACCGTCACGGCCAAACAGTCTTGGCAAACAGTACAGTTCGGCCTACGGATCGTTGCCCATCACAATCGACCGTACGCCGAACACACCTACCTGCACCACAACCATCACAGCAATAACAACAAGAAGGCAACCCCACCACAATCAACCACAACCAGTGTCGAGAAGAAGAAAAAGACACCTGCTGCGAGTGCCAAAACAACGGGAGAAAACGGCAATGAGGAGGATGAAGTGCACGAGTACGTCAATGCCACCCACATTCCCCCCGTATCTCCCCATGGACGCTTTGGAGTGTTGCAGCTGGAACAACATCGATCCAGTATCTCTGGAAACTTTGATGATCACGACAGCTTCTTGGACGGTCAACACCATCCTCGTGTGTTTCATCACTCCGATGTTGTCAACTTCGACGTAGAAGGGGGCCAAGTCTTTCGGTTCGTCGCTGACCGAAGGTTTTGAGCTACATGTAAATAGCAAGCTGGTACTATACCGTAACCACGGCAAGTACAGTACCGTAGTGAAGAAGGAGCCATTTTCTGCTTGATGTTCACCATAACTAACACAGTGATTGGGTACCTCGGTAAGGCTAGCCAGCGATCGTACCGGTACGATGTAATGACAACATTGCAACAATTCAATAGCTACCGGTAGCTAGCTAGACTACTAGTACTAGCAAGATCTATGTGCTGACATTGGTGGTTCAAACGGAACAGCTTGGAGCCAGTACACCCGATTTCAATTCGATTAGCATTCGAACTGTTCGAAGCTCACTTATCGAATAAGATTCCTTTCTTCATCTTTCGAATTCCCAAGGCGACATCAATCCCAGGAGGCGATGATGCGGTGGATCTTT